CGCTGTTGTACGGGTTTGATGGCACTCTCTTGAGGGCTTGATATGTGGATTGTCCTCAGAGATCACAAAACAGAAAAAGAAACACGAAGTATCTAAGGAATAAGGGAATCGGGAGGATGCGACAGTCCAAAGGAAGAAGAAATGCCATTTACGAAATGGACGACTTAGGCCGATACTTCGACCCCAAAGAAGGGATTGGTGAGGCTCGAACTGACTTTGACGTTTCTTGGCTGCCCTCGCTATCTGTAGGATCTAACGTCCTCCAAGCGAGAGATAACCTCGCCCTCGGTGAGGGACGAGGTTACGCACGACTCTTTTTTTGGCGGCATCAGATGGGCCGCCGGTAGATGGGAGAAATCTATCCATACCAACACCCAGTTGCAGCTGCAGCAGCAGACCGCTCGCTACTTCCGCTGTCTGTGCGTCGCTACTTCTGCACTCACTGTGGTGCGTGGTTCGTGCAAAGAGCGGCCCGCAGGACACAAAGAAGGGGGTACGCGGCAGAGAAAATGGGGATACTCCATGATCGTATATTCGGCCAGGCCCCCTGGTGCTGAGCAAAACAAGTTTCCCTAAAGCGGGAAGTTTCCTTAACGCGAGCGCCGCTTAAAGCGGGGTCTAGTGTAGACTACGCGTTGTTCTGCAACTCAAGCGAGCCACCAGCAACAGCTTGAGCATTTGAAAGTTTCGCTTGATCCGAAAGGCTGAGGGCACGTGAATATATGCGTTGTAGACTACTCCAAATGTCAGGTGATGCTACTGTCTGTCGAAAGGCGCACCACGGCTCTGCCGCACCACCGTCGTTGGCTGCTGAGCTAGAGAGCTATAAATAGTTAGTAAATAACACTTGCCCCGACAACGTCACCCCTCCCCCCATCGCCCCCCCCGGATTTGACTCCCAGCCGAGCCCTCAGACAGCAGTTGACGCGAGGATGTTACCAAACAACCGGAACGCTATCTCCAACGTTAATCCTTGTTGTTGGCACAGCAAAGACGGAAGTTGGCAGTAAATTGCTTTTGTCGGTGGAGCTCTTTCGTACCTCCCACATGTCCACCACGGCGACAGCAGTCCCTCTCTAATCACAACATACAGATCCCCGATGTCCCAGGTGTTTGCGGGAGGTACCTCTTACAACAATCTTTACACCCCTGTGAGCTCTTCTAGCGCCAACGGAGGCGCCAATTGTGTGTGTTTACTTGTTGGCATCCATCACGCTGTGTGTGTGTCGGTCCCATATGTGTATGGTGCCGATCTCTACACCTTTCGGTATGTGTCAATGTTTGACGTGTCGGTAGGGGTCACTCATGAGGGACGGTGTTTTGTTTTTCAAATATCAGGATGGGCACGTGTCGTTACGTGAGATACAACGTGTGGCGTGTGATTCACCATTGCAGAGTGAACGGCGTGATCCATCGACTGCGGCCGCATTTCCCTTTCTCTGGGTTGGTTCTCGTGTCGTGTGGTTCCCCTTCCGCTTGCCCACCAACCATCGTAGTCATGCGCAAGGGCGATGCTGCCCCGTTTCATGCATCCGACTGCAGTGGAGATTGCTTCGGCGTGTGTTTGTGCGTGCGCTTTAATTCTCCCCCCTCCTGTGTTTGCCTTACTGAGGCCTGTTCCATTGGCTTTTCGACGACCAGCCCTTGGCTCACACGCGCTCTCTGTTCTCTTTCCCACTTGTTTGTGAAGGTCGTGGACATCATCCACCCCGGCGTGGCCAACGTCTCCAAGGCCGAGCTCGGGGAGATGATCGCGAAGGTTGGTCTGTGCCTGAAATGTTTGCCAAGCCGTTGTGTGCTTGTGTCTCGTTCTGTTGACACGGAAAAGAGGGGCGGGCAAGAGAATGCTTTGCACACTTCGCGATAACCATGGTCGTGGCATGCCACTCCAGCGATCTCTTCTATCACGCTGTTGGCTGCTGTCCTTTGCCATGCTCTTGTCTCGATCACGAGAGTGCCATGCCTAGATTCCGTGCGCATTAATTTTCGTGTCAAGGTGAAATCGCGAACACTGCTGTAACCTGCCGTACGCAGTGCAACCGGGGGGGGGGGGG